CGAAAAGATTTCAAAAAACCTTTATTCCTTCAATGTGCAATAGTTTTCATTAGGTTTTCAACCAGGCCTGGTTTTCAACGTATATATTGTAAATTTTTCAGATATACTTGTAATTTTAATAATGTAATATGTCTACTGTTCATGCAGCTGCTGGCTGCGATGATCTATCTGTCTATCTTTAGCTTCTGAAATGAAGGAATTTATCCGCCAGCGAGTTTGGGATTTTTTGCGCTATATGTGCAGTTTCATTGGTTGACGCACGTAATTTAATCTGTGTCAATTGCTATCGGATACAACAGAAATAATTGCTGCCGCAGCGAGCGAGCCTGAAGCGAGCGAGCAAGGCAGCAGATCCTAATTTTGTTTTGTGGGTCGAAATCAAAATTTTCTATTTGGCGCATTGCATGACGGTACCAGTGAATTTTAACCGTGGTGCAGCGCGCTCAGGCATAAGGCAAACAGGCAATGTGATCATGTTTCATCTTTGGTCTTCTTTTAGGACTTTTATGGAAAGCCATAGCTGGCTTAAAGTGATCAAACGGCATTTTGTTGGGTGCTTTTAGCATTATACGGCGGTACTTTCGGCATTATACACGGTGCTTTCGCCATTATACGCGGTGGTTCCAGTATTATACGCGGTGCTTTCACCATTTATATACGCAGTGGTTCGAGCACTATATGCGGTGCTTTTAATATTATACGCGATGCTAGCTTTCATTCAACATTATTTCCATATTCTTTCCATATGATTTAACGATTGCTTAAATTTGGTATGTACATGGTTGACAAATGCTTTTTGCCTATGGTCTGCAAGGACAATGACATGCTTTTCTGTGTATATACATGTAAATGAATATAACGCAGCGAATGCGCCAAACAGTATAAACGCGGCTGAAATATGATATTAAAATCATAAGCCGTATGATTTAATTATGTTTTAGGATTTACAAATGCTTTGTCATTTGTATTTATACTTGTACTGCATCACAAGGCAGTACGTACTGTAAGTGAAAAAACTCCACATGTGAGATTGTCTTGTATATATTTTTGCTTTCTTTGATAAACACTATTAAACACGCAAATTTTAATTAGTGAGACGCAATGTTAAATGTCACCTGCATGTCATTGTCATTGCCCTTTAACCCCTGGTCTAATTGGCCGCTTTTGAAAATGTCAGATCATGACGAACCGCACTAGGATAAAACGCGGATACGGACGGACGGACGGATGGCGACGGACGGATGACATATATGTGTCATTATATAGTCTGCGCGCAGGGTAGTTAGTGGCTTACGTCTTCGCTGGTTGTTATACTTTAAAATAATTTTGTATATACCGAGAAATCAATATTCGAGTATATAAATATATAAACTGGGATGTCACACTGATAGCTTGTTTACATTTCCTGGAGCATCATGAAATCTTATGTTCAACCACGGTGGTTTAACCCATTAGCTGGCAATGCGCCCTTCCCTTGTCCAACGCCAGAAGATTTTACTCGTCAGTGGTATAGGGTACTGCCAGTAAATGGGTTAACAAACCTATCTGCCAATGGCTCTTGTTAATTCATCAACACAGTAATGACCCCTACTTTAGTATTTACCCTGTCCAACGCCAGACGATTTTTGATACTCAGTCAGTGGTAGGGTACTGTCAATAAATGGGTTAACAAGGATAACAATAATAGGATGTTTCTGAAGGACTCGTTCAACACCCTGTAGTTTGTCTTTTGCTGTCAAAGGCAGCATTACTGCCCTGTGGGTAACCTAGTTATAAATCATTAAGTTTTGATTTTCCGTTCAACCCAACAAACACGAGTCATATTCAATTCTGTATGCGGCGAGGGAATTCATGTATTTATCTTCGTTTATCGTATCAGTGTACCGTACATAGCTAGGATCGTATACCACGCGCAAAGGTTAGTTTTATGAATTTGTTATACAATGTGTATCTTAGGCCACATGTTGTTTAGAGACGAGTCTAAACAAATAAAATAAGGAAATAAGCACTTCAAATATAAGCAAGCACTTCAGTGTTTATACATGCTTCAATACATGTCATATATATAAAAATTCATTCATTCCCTCGTCTGTAACGATATATAATAAACATTGAGTAACTTATAAATTACATACTGTACATTTTTATTTGTAAATAACGGTAATATTATACTAGAAGTTCTAAACTCTTCCTTGTATATTATTGTAATTATGTTTTTGTAAATATACATATATTTTTCTAATCAACCAATCTTGTAAATAATAGGCGTACTTCAACCATTATGGTTGCAAAGTCTATATTTTATTAATAAATTCAAACCTATTCAAATATGTACGAAGTTATATACGAAAAATGAAGACAGTTTGAAAAGATATGGACTATATCGAGACGTGTGTTTAAATGGTAATATTCCTATTACATATAAATTCATTATTCTGTATATTACAGAATATATCATTATTCTGTAGTAGGGTCGAAACAGAACCATTAATTAGCGCAAATAAAGAGATACCACTAACAGCAGTTTACTATAGCGTGCTTTATGTAAAACGCAACGCGTTTTATAATCATATTGTATTTATAATTACTTCGGGTATCAAACTGCGCATATTTTCAGTTGAATATGTACGCACCAGTATCATATTATAATATCGCACTGTGAAATACGTTATCTATGGACTATAGATAGTCTGCTCATGTGTTGTTACTTAGCTATTTCACTATATAGTCGAAACTTGCTCACTACCGAATCAGTCTCATTTAACGATTCAAATAAAGTATTCATCTCACTTGAAACATTGCTATTAATAAAATTTTCACGAAGAGTATTTTTTAAGTCGTCATCCCAAATAAATGATGCAGGCAGTGTGAGCAATTGTAAAGTTTCTCCTTTATCTACTCCCAATCGAGGCTCCGCTACTAATGCAAAAGAAAGGAAGCAATGATGCGAGAATTCTGTGATATTTGACACAGTAAAATGCTTGATTGATTGCAAAATCTCTGATACCATCGTATAGTCGACCACACTAGCCCCATTATATGTGTGGCAAGTAAACTGACCTAAATAATCTCCTTTCGTAACTCATTCCCACAACATAACTCAGCTAATGATTTCCCATACGTATTAATATGAATGTCCCTTGACTTACGTGGTTCAATTGAGCTATAGTAAGAACTGTCGTTGGAAAGGTTACCCCGTCCAATTCAGGTTACCCCGTCCATGGTTGTTTACCAGTTTTAAGGGTCGATTTTTAAGCAAAATTTTAACCGTTACCATGGAAACGGTTAAGAAAATATCATTTTATACATTGTTATTCACAAAAAGTCAAATATCTCGGGAACTAAGCGGAATTTTAGCATTCTGTAAAAAGTTTATGAACAAGGAATACTTTCTCTACAATATAAATGCAATTTTCAATTTTGACCCGTATGGTCAAAAATTAGGGTAGACAATCCCCAACACATGGAACTTAGTTTTAAATACAGACAATGGATTGCAATAATTTGCACAACAGTTTAATATGCTCTTAGAATTTTATTTGTTTTATTTTTTTGGGGGGAGAGGGTGTGATTGTTTGGTTGCGCGGGGGAGGGGCAGAGCTTCTCATCTCTTTGAGGGGCCGGGGCTAAATATTTCCGACGCTTTTCGGGTCAAATTTTATGGTAGTATTTTGAAATACCCTCCACCCTCCAGTACACATACTTTATGACCGGTCCCTTAGTTATACAAGACGCCAAGTATATATGCTGGTATTTTTTCTATTACTTCGTCTGACTCCGAATTATGAATGGTGTCATCCGTCATCTTTTCGGATACGTTTCTCTGTCCACGAAATTGAATCCTGTAAGGTTTTTAATAACTTAGCTTAAAAGGATAAAATTTAGCAAACACAAAATACGTCTATAACCAAACTAAAATTATACTCATACTCACTTGTGTTAATAGGTACATGCATGACGGTCGCGATTATTGGCTGAAACATCTGTAACAGGTTCACTTCTAAGTTCACTTCTAGAGATCCCTCCGGTTGAAGTGCATCTGGTAGTTTTGGCGTATCAGCGTATACAATTTGCTTAATTGTGCTTTGCGTTCTTTATGAAAGTGTGGGCTTCTAGAACGTGTTCCCCACACAGCTAACTAAAGTTGTAAGGTGCCATATAAAGTAAATTAGTATTTGTAGCATTTTGAATAAAGCATATATTTAAAGCATTTTATTTTGTGTTATTTTATTTTAGAAGCTTTATCACAACGTCAAGATTACATTACAAATAAGGAAAAATCAAGCATATAGCACTACAAATTGTGACAGAGAATCACAACAGCTTTTGACCAATTACTGCGGTTCCAAATGCATTGCCGTAAGTTCTAACCTGAATACCAGGCCTATTTTCCCGACTTGCGCTAAAAAAATAAATAACGTAAACAGTTGCTTTATAACAACAAGACGCTCTACGGAGCGTTAACTCGCTGGGGCTATACAACTACGCACATTACTGTACAATGTACATGATACATACAGTTTTAACAGCTCTTTCAATTGAGATTTAAGGTTTTCCCCGAGCTAAGCGGAAAAGTCGAATACGAGCGCGAAAGGCTTAATAACACAGTACTAAAATGCGGTAGGCCCTACAAGTAAAGTTATATTTAGTACGCTACATTCTTCTTCAAAACT